AGCTGGAAGTGGAGAGGAGATCTGTAGTTGTTTAGTCGCTCAGTCATGTCCGACTCTTTTGCAACTCCTTGGACTGCAGCCCACCAGGCTCCACTATCCATGGAATTTTCCAGGCAAGAATACTGGGGTGGATTGCCATTTCCTCTTCCATGACCCAGGGACCTTCATGACCCATGAATCTAATCCGCATCTCCTGCATTGCAAGTGGATTCTTTACCACTGAGCCACCAGGGAAGCCTGGAGAGATCGATACATCTGGGAAAAAAATATCTTGTCTGACTCTCCCTGAAGGCTAGTTTCAAGCAGACCGCTGAGCTGTTTTATCTGTCTGCCAGTCTGGGATGATGACCTCTTTTCAAGGTATTTAAAAGAGCAGCATAAGTGTCATATCTCCTCTTCACTGCTGTTTCAATCAGGCTGCTATCAGGAGTTAGACTTCATCCCAGATGGCTGGAATTCAGGAACCTTAGCAGAGTGGTTACTTGCAGATGAATGGGCCGGTTTAGAAGAATTGAGGCAGGCAGATGCTAGCAACCACGGGAAATAGTTGCTACTCAGCTTTCCTAGTGGCTCAGTGGCGAAGACTCCACCTGCCAGTGCAGGAGACTTAGGAGACATGGGTTCGATCCCTGGGTTGGGGAAGAGCCCCTGGAGGAAGTGAAAAGAAAGTGTGAAGGTGTTAGCCACTCAGTCGTGTCTGACTCTTTGCAACCCCGTGGGCTGTAGCCCGCCAGACTCCTCTGTCCATAAGATTTCCCAGGCAAGAATACTGGAGTGGGTTGCCATTCCCTTCTCCAGGACATCTTCATGACCTAGGGGTGGAACCTGGATATCCTGCGTTGCAGGTGGATTCTTTATCATCTGAGCCAACAGGGAAGCCCTCCTCTGGAGAAGGAAATGGAACCCACTTCAGTATTCTTGCCTGGAAAATCCCATGGGCAGAGGAGCCTGGCAGGCTACAGTCCACAGGGTTGCAAAGAGTTGGATGCTTCTGAGCATATATAGAAAGCTGAAAGATATCCAGTATAATTGTTCTTTACCATCAACCAAAGATTTTCCCCCATTTTCTTAAGTTTCCCATCTGCTTCCCATCAGATACTTTTATTTTTTTTTTTAACAATGCAACATCTTGACTTCTTGTTAATTCATTAAGTGAAAGTATTTTTGGTTGTAATGTATGAGTATGGGGATTCACCTGAGAAATAGTTGATCAAATTTTTTCACATGAACAAATTGGACTTGGGGAATTTCTAAATGACATGAAAAAATTTTTTACGTGAGTTTGTGTTCTTTGTCATCAGAAAATGTAATTCTTGCAGAATGCATTATTGGTACCATAATATTTAGCACATGTTATTGTCAACTGTAATTGAAGGTTTTTCAAAGTGGGCATTTTAATGTAATCTCTGATCCTAGAGATTTCTTGACACTGTAACTTTGATGTGGCTCCTTTGATTGAAGTATGCTTTTATCAGTAGGATTACTACTTTTATTAAAATTATTGTTGGGGTTCAGTGGCCAAGTCACGTCCAACTCTTTGCAACCCCATGGACTACAGCACACCATACTTCCCTGTCCTTCAGCATCTCCCATAGTTTGCTGAAACTCATGTCCATAGAGTTGGTGATGCCATCCAACCACCTTATCCTCTATTGTCCCCTTCTCCTCTCACCCTCAATCTTTTCCAGCATCGGGGTCTTTTCTAGTGAGTCAGTTCTTTGCATCAGGTGGCCAAAGTATTGGAGCTTCAGCCTCAGTCTCAGGAGCCTCAGTCTCAGGAGCTTCAGTCCTTCCAATGAATATTCATGGTTGATTTCCTTTAGGATTGAATGTGTAAGCTATTTTGTTTTATCCTATACCCAGGTAACATACTCTTGCTGAATTCCACTGTCAGGGATGTGTCGTAAATTGAGGGTGCGGGATGGGATGAGAAATGGGTGAGTTTCCAATATGCAGTGGCCATATTAAAAATAATCCATGCCATTGAAATGGCAGTGGTAAAGTGGCTAGATAAAAAATAAAAACAGAAATGGTCTGCTTGTTTGCACATCTATTCTCTACCCTAAATTGTGAGCAGTTCAGCAGAAACTGAGTTTGGGATCAGCATACAGAAGGATTAACTGCTATATGACTAATTTTCTATATTGCCACTCAGTTTAGCAGTTTGGATTGAGGAAAGGGAAACTACGTGGGTCTGTAGCATTTGATAAACTAGAGGTCCATGAAGAACTATGGTAACGACTGTGAGTGCTGTGTGTGGTGACAAGTGTGCTCCAGCCAGTAACAATGAGGGGATGGTGGACATGGTGGAGTGGTTGGTGGATAGTGTTGGTGAAGGAGTTGTGGAGATAGATACGGGAATGATGATGTTGGTGGCAGAGCTGGCAACATCGGTGGTAGAACTGACGATGCTTATGGTGGTAGAAGACGTAATGAAAGTTGAAGAGGTGAAGATAGTGAGTTGGCCTCACTTCTAATAGAGCTGCTATTAGAAGTGAGGTTGTTGATGGGGATAGGGCAAGTGTTAGTAATGATACTGGTAATTCCATAAATGGTGGTAGAGCTTAGAAATCTTGAAGCTTTATGAAGTGATGTGATATCACATGACATTTAAATTGTTCTGTGTGTCTTTGGCTGGATACCAATAATGAAGCATGGTAAATTTACTTGCAGAGAGATTTGCCATACTGAGCATTCTCATTGCAGATGCTCTTTAAGTTTTTCCTTAATTACTGATACTTGTACCATGCTGTGCCAAAAAGCAACACTCTTGTCAGTTTCAACACTGTGCATAAGTTCTTCTAATAAATATTATTCAGCCCCAATTATTGGATATTTTTAGAGTAAACCTGGCTTCCCCTATTCAATGCAGTGCTCTTCAGAGTTGATTTTTATCCGGAAAGTGATGCTATTTAGTCAGGGATTATCTTTTATCTCTGTTTGCAAAACAGCTGGAAGTGTAGCTACTGAGATTTGATGTTTGTCTTCCTGCACTTGACTGCCAAGCAAAATCATTTCATTTTAATCGACAGAATTTACCTTTGTAAATTAGCATGTGCATATACCATTGAAAGATTGAAACTACAAGTTTGACCTTCTAGTAGGTATAATACATGATCTTTTTTTTTTTTTTTTGGATAGATAGAATGTTCTTTGTCTTTCTCATGGTATGTTTGAAATTAAACAAAAATGTCCGTAGTGAATTTTCCCTTTTCATTGTTTAAAGTAAACCTCCTAAAAAAAAAAAAAAAAAAAAAAAGTAAACCTCCTTCTCTCTGCCTGGCCACAGGTGACTTATTCTTCCAACTGGGAGACCACATTTGATTCTAGAGACCAGTATGAACCTGCTCAACACATTTTCAGCTTAAACAACTGAGAATTTTTCTTATTTGATGTATTTAAGAGTATCCACGGTTTATGGTTACTGAATATTTGCTATGCAGCTGGCACTTTTCATGGCTATCTCATGATATGTTCTAATACATTCACATTTTATGGATAAGAAAAGTGGGGCTTTGGGAGCCACACTTATACTTGGCAGAGCCAGGATTTGGACCCAGCTGCTTACTGGTACCCATGCTCTTAACCGTTATGATACATTTCCTGTAGATTTCCACCAATGTGGAATTTAGTTCAACTCTCCTTTTCTACTTGAAAAACCAAGTAGATTTATTTTTTTTTTAAAAACGTCTGGGTTTTTTGGAGAAGAATCAAGATTGCCCTCCAGGAGAAAGGGAACCATATGGAAATTATCCATTTTATTCTTGACTTAGAAAATGTTTGTTTAAATAATGGGATCGGACTTGGAGTTAGAAATCTGTAAGGTTAGTTACACACTCTACAATCTACCAGCCCCGAGATCACAATTTAGTCTCTTAATCCGCAGAATTTGGGACATTAGAGGCTCCTTTCCCTCATTTGCCAAAGAGAGAAATAATCTGCCCTATTCATCTTAGATAGTAACAACTTTGTAAAGATTGAACTCAGAGTAACTTGACTGGACCCCTGCAGTGATGTCCTAATCAATTTCCCTTCTTCTGATCTCTACCTTGCAAAGTTCTTCTCCATGATAGTTTCCCTAAAGTGTCCCGTTAACCATGGCTCTTGTCTCATCAGAAACCTTCTTTATGTAACCATTAACTGTAGGATAAAATTAAAGTGCTTAACTTGATATTCAAGTTCTTTTGCATCTAGTCCTTCCAATCACACCTTTCACATTCTCCTTTAAAGAACCTATATGCTACTTTATTTTTTTTTTTTTTGAAATTTTGAGATTTTTCATTTGAAGGTAAATCTTAATGCTATTAAATTCACAAATATGCTAATTTAAATACCCAACTCTATTATCTAAAACACATATTGCAAACATACAAATATCTATTCTCTCCACATGTCAGAGCCATTCGTTTCATGGTTTGGAAATGGGGAGAATAGATTCCCCTTAAACTGCAAGTCAGCAGGTGTTTCTTTACAGTTAACTTTAGCAAAATTCATACAAAATAGTAATTAACAATGATCTTCTTTACTTGTTAACTCACAAGGAAACACCTTCAAAACTGCATTTTGTTAAAGTTTCTGTACTAAAATGTAGAAAAACTGAACTACACAAATATTGAAAAGTTAAAAATTCCTTAATTTTTTATTCCTGGTACCACTACCACAATTTACAGGGCAATATACCTGATGTAATGAAAAGAAAAAGAAAAAGACAAAGCTACAACAGATAAAAGACCTCAGGAATGTACACCTAATTGACACTACATTGCATTAATCAATAGCTGCACTTTTTGCAAACTGTGGCTATGACAGTCCTGAACAAGAAGGGTTTCCTGTTGAAGCTGCAGTAACTTTTCTGACTGTGGATCATCGTTCCTCCTGTGGCAGATTTTTACAGTTCCTCTAACGCATTTGGGACGACTGTCTCAGAGTAACCTGCAGCTTTCCTGACAACTCCTCGCTCTCTCTCCTGCTAAGAACTGTAGCCCTTTTCTTCTGAGTTTTTAGAACCTTCTGCTACCATATCCACCACTTCCACCACCAGATCCATAACCACCACCATAGGGACTGCCCGAGCTGCTTCCACCAAAACTACCCCCTTTCATGGGTCCATAATTTGATTGCTGTTGTCCACTATAATTTCCAAAATCATGATCGTTTCCACCACCACCATAGTTACCACCTCCAAAATTTCCTCCTTCATTGTAACCATCGTATCCTCCACCACCGCCACCATATCCACCACCTTGGTTTCCATATCCTGGTCCACCACCACCGTAACCTCCTCTGCTACTATAACCAGGACCACCGCCATAGTTGCCACCATCACCTCCAAATCCATTGTGTCCACCATCACCTCCTCCATAACTCCCTCGGCTGCCACCACCTCCACCACCATAGCCTCCTCTTCCACCAAAGTTTCCACCACGGCCAGACTTACCTCCACCACCTCCAAAGTTTCCTCCACGACCCATAAAGTTGCCAGATCCACCTCCACGACCTCTTTGTGATCCAGCAGATTGCATCTCTTGTTTAGAAAGGGCCTTTTTCACTTCACAATTATGCCCATTAATAGTGTGGTATTTCTGAACAACAGTTTTATCAACTGTATCATGATCATCAAAAGTTACAAAAGCAAATCCTCTCTTTTTCCCACTCTGCCTGTCTTCCATAACTTCTATGGTTTCAATCTTGCCATACTTTTCAAAGTAGTCTCTCAAATTATATTCTTCTGTATCTTCTTTAATACCACCAACAAAAATTTTCTTCCCTGTTAGATGGGCACCAGGCTTTACAGAATCCTCTCTAGAAGCAGCTCTCATTGGCTCCACTACACGCCCATCACCCTTGTGCGGTCGCGCACACATTGCTGCATCCACTTCTTCAACACAAGAGTGAGTCACAAAGCCAGAGCCCCTGGAACGTTTTGTTTGGGCGTCTCTCATCACCACACAATCTGTAAGCGTGCCCCGTTTCTCAAAATGTTCTCTTAAGCTGTCATCTGTAGTTTCAAAGCTCAGACCACCGATAAACAGCTTTCTCAGCTGCTCTGGTTCCTTGGGGTCATGACCCTCCTCCCCCCGGCGGCGGCGGCGGCGGCGGCGGCGGCGGCGGCGGCGGCGGCGGCGGCGGCAACGGCCGGAGTCGGGCTGGGGGCGACCGGGCGGCGGTTTTACCTCCATTTTGAGACCGGACTCGGCTCTCCCAACTCGAGTTCAATATGGGACCGAGAGCCTATATGCTACTTTAACAGAATTGTTTGTTGTTGTTATTCTTCACGCCTTTGTTCAGGCCTCGAATTACTTGTCCATTACTTACTTAAATATTTTTACACAGCGTGAAGTGAGGACACAGCAAGAAGATGATTGTCTGCCCACCCCGAGGGAGCTCTCACCAGAACCTGACACTTGTGGTACCCTGATCTTGGACTTCCAGCTTCCAGAAAGGTGAGAAAATATAATTTGAGTCATGTAATTGAATCACCTAATCTGTGGTATTTTGTCCTGGCAGCCTGATAGTACAGTGGACCCTTGAACAAGTACAGTGTAAGTAAGACAAGTACAGTGGACCCTTGAACATCACGGTCTTGAACTGCACAGATCTACTTATATGTAGATGTTTTTCTACAGTGGATACTGCATTACTGCACCATCCGAGATTGGTTCAATCTGTGATACAGGTCCACGGATAGAGAGGGAACTCAGTTATGGAGGGCCGGACTATAAATTATATACGGATTTTCAATAGTACTACACAATCTAAAGTTTGTTGGTTGAATACAGAAATGCAGAGGAGTTCCAGATATAAAGAGCAGACTATAAATTATAGGCAAATTTTTGCTTGTGGAGGATAGGTGCCCCTAACCCTCATTTTGTTTAGGGATCAACCGTATCTACTATTTGGAATGTTGAAGAGCGAAAATTCCTTCATTTTTGATTCTGTGGTCTGGATTGCTAGCTGCTGAGTTTTACCTGAATCTTGGGGTCACCTGATCTTAGCTAATCTCCTTTGCCCAGGGAAATTTCCAGTATGTCTCAGACTAGGGCTCATTTTTGATCAATAGTTTGAGTATTATGGAAGTTTTCCTGAAAGTGAGATGTGGAAATATAGATGCCTTCTTCCTGTTGAAGGTGTCTATTTGAGTGGATGAATCTAAACTGAAAAATACTGATTATTTCTGCTCACTAGTGGGAAGAATAACAGCTAAAGTGATCATCAAAATGATTGGCATGGCCTGTTATTTCAGCAAGATCATGAGTGAGAGGTACTGTTGAAAGGGAATAAAAGAAGGAATAATACATTAATTATTTTGGGAAAAAGGGGGAAAATTAAGGACTATGGTTGAAATACTATTGTTTTTCTATTTTTAAGAAAATTATGCATTTTCCCACTTCACTCTAGCTTTATAATGTCATTTTATTCAACACAGCATTGCTTCTCCTTGGGAATCATGATGGGAAATTAATCTCAACATTTAATTGCAATGTGTTAGTGTTAACATGCCTTATGAAGGTAGTCAGGAGACAGATCTGTAGGTTTGCTTCTCCACAGTCTGATACCATGAGCTAATGGGAACAAGGTTTAGGGGGTCTTAGTGTGCTAATGGGCTTCCTAGGTGGCTCAGTGGGTAAAGAAACTGCCTGAAATGCAGGAGATGCTGGAGATATGAGTTCAATTCCTGGGTCAGGAAGATCCCTGGAGCAGGGCACGGCAACCCACTCCAGGATTCTTGCCTGGAGAATCCCATGGACAGAAGAGCCTGGTGGGCTAGTGTCCATGAGGTCACACAAAGAGTTGAACATGACTGCACGACTAAGCACAGTGGTTTTCTAGTGTTCACATGACCCTGGGAGCTTGTTTGGTTTCAGATTTCCAGAACAATTTCTGGGATACGGGTTCAGAAGGTCTAGGGTGGGGATAAGTATGTACATTTTTAAATAAGCATCTTTGGTAATTCTGATGTAGATGGTCTAAAGATTACATGGCTTCTAAGGTATACCAAGTTAACCTTTTAAAGCCTATTTCCTGTTCAGAAGAAAGTTCTGATCTGCCTATGGCCACTTGAGGCGACATTTAGAGATGCCAGTTTATTTGTATGATTGAATTCATCTGGGTGCTAGTTAATTGAATTGACCCTTGAATGTCTATTCCAGGTGCTTCAGGGTAGGACCATCACCAACTCCCCCCGCCCCCTCCAAAAAAGGAAGAAGACAATGACTCTGAGAGAAAGAAGTGTTATTTAGCTTAAAGGAATGTAAGCAGGAATGGAATGCCAGACATCAAGTGTTGGAAAGTTTTGAGTGTAACCTCCCCAGGGTCCTTCAAACTGTGTCCCACATAGGCGTGAGGGGTACGGGTAGCTCCGAGGGTGGAACTGAAAGTTCCAACCCCTTATTCACCCCTCCTCCCACTCACCTGATTGCTTCTCTTGGAATTGTGCTTTCTGAAAGTCACCTTTTTTTTTTTTTTTCTTTAAAAACTAGTAAACTCAGTTGTGGTTGAACGGGACTTGTTATGAATGAGAAAAAGGACTTTTTTTCCTTTTCGCCTCTAATGCTCTTATCACTTAGGACACTGTTAGTACAAAGGAGAGAAGAACTGGCCAGACTGGTAGGTGGAGATTGGAATAAGCAAGGATATTTACAAACGAGGCTTGTCTTCCACTGTTGCAAGAGGGTTAGATCTCTGCACCAGAGGTCTTAAAAGTTTATGTAGAGGACTTAACTGTTCATTCGTATATGCTGGGCCAACGATCTCAACACCATGGGGCTCTCTCAAAGGTTGCATGCTTGAAAACAGTTCCAGCTGCGGGAATGGTGCGCAGTATGTACATGCCATGGACGGGGGATGGGGTGAGGGGGGTGATGAGCCTCCAGTTGCCCGGGGCCAATTCAGAAGTCAAGGGGAGGTCATGTCCTCTCAATGACCTCCTCCAACAGAAATTCCGAGGTTTTTAAGAACTCTTCCTCCCAGGACTGGGAGAAAGAACGGGTGTATATATTTCTTACTATAAATCATGACATCACAGTCTGCCTCACATGGACGCCTCTGTCAGTGACTTTGCCTCTAAGTGGGTCTGTCCTTAAGGTATTGTTGTTCTGGAGACCTTATTTGCTTTTTCTGTATTACTTTGAGTGTGATTATTGTTTGGTCAGAAAACTATAGCTTTTACTTTAGATAATTGACTTTAGAGGGGTTTGTTGCATTGTTAAATGTTATTTTTATTTAGACTTAGGGCTAAAATATTGCCTGTGGGGAACATATCTTTGGCTTGGTAATGGAAGTTAATGGGAAAAATACATTTTGATTAAAAGAAAATTGCTTTATAGTCAGTTTTTAAACAAGAATTGGAACAATTGCATTAGATGAGATAGCCCAGTATACCTACTCTCCAAATGTTATTTACTTTTTGTAGTATGGCTATTTTCAGTGTTCTCTTTACCTTCTTAGCTTTGCCTCCTCCAATCAGATTGTTAGGGTCTGATTTCCTAAGTAGGCAATATCTAAGTCAGATAACATGAAGGATACAAAACTCCAATATTTTGACCACCTGATGTGAAAAGTTGACTCATTAGAAAAGACCCTGATACTGGGGGAAACTGAGGGCAGAAGGAGAAGGGGGTGGCAGAGGATGAATTGGTTGGATGGCATCACCGACTCAATGGACGTGAGCCTGAGCAAACTCTGGGAGATGGGGAGGACAGGGAAGCCTGGTGTGCTGCCGTCCATGGGGTTGCAAAGAGTCGGACATGACTGAGTGACTGAACAGCAAACATTTTGGAAACAGTAGTACTATAAAATGTAAGATACTGTTAATTTTATGGAGTCTTCTTCCTCTTTTGTGCTATGCCTAGATCCTTGAGAGAATTGGTCTGAAAGATAGTCTAATTGTATACTATTCTGTGTGCTCACAGATCCCCACTCTACCCCGCAGCTTGAGGTAAACAAACTGGAATGTATTGTTAAGTTTCCCTTTATCTGTCTTCTATAAATTCAAGATCAAGTGGTGGAGCTGGAAGTGGAGAGGAGATCTGTAGTTGTTTAGTCGCTCAGTCATGTCCGACTCTTTTGCAACTCCTTGGACTGCAGCCCACCAGGCTCCACTATCCATGGAATTTTCCAGGCAAGAATACTGGGGTGGATTGCCATTTCCTCTTCCATGACCCAGGGACCTTCATGACCCATGAATCTAATCCGCATCTCCTGCATTGCAAGTGGATTCTTTACCACTGAGCCACCAGGGAAGCCTGGAGAGATCGATACATCTGGGAAAAAAATATCTTGTCTGACTCTCCCTGAAGGCTAGTTTCAAGCAGACCGCTGAGCTGTTTTATCTGTCTGCCAGTCTGGGATGATGACCTCTTTTCAAGGTATTTAAAAGAGCAGCATAAGTGTCGTATCTCCTCTTCACTGCTGTTTCAATCAGGCTGCTATCAGGAGTTAGACTTCATCCCAGATGGCTGGAATTCAGGAACCTTAGCAGAGTGGTTACTTGCAGATGAATGGGCCGGTTTAGAAGAATTGAGGCAGGCAGATGCTAGCAACCACGGGAAATAGTTGCTACTCAGCTTTCCTAGTGGCTCAGTGGCGAAGACTCCACCTGCCAGTGCAGGAGACTTAGGAGACATGGGTTCGATCCCTGGGTTGGGGAAGAGCCCCTGGAGGAAGTGAAAAGAAAGTGTGAAGGTGTTAGCCACTCAGTCGTGTCTGACTCTTTGCAACCCCGTGGGCTGTAGCCCGCCAGACTCCTCTGTCCATAAGATTTCCCAGGCAAGAATACTGGAGTGGGTTGCCATTCCCTTCTCCAGGACATCTTCATGACCTAGGGGTGGAACCTGGATATCCTGCGTTGCAGGTGGATTCTTTATCATCTGAGCCAACAGGGAAGCCCTCCTCTGGAGAAGGAAATGGAACCCACTTCAGTATTCTTGCCTGGAAAATCCCATGGGCAGAGGAGCCTGGCAGGCTACAGTCCACAGGGTTGCAAAGAGTTGGATGCTTCTGAGCATATATAGAAAGCTGAAAGATATCCAGTATAATTGTTCTTTACCATCAACCAAAGATTTTCCCCCATTTTCTTAAGTTTCCCATCTGCTTCCCATCAGATACTTTTATTTTTTTTTTAACAATGCAACATCTTGACTTCTTGTTAATTCATTAAGTGAAAGTATTTTTGGTTGTA